TTGGTTCTGTTTACACTCTGTCGATATTTCGTGTTTTTATTTAAGATATTCTGTATCAAGATCATCAATCCTAAAAATAAATTGCAATGCCCACACTAACTTGAAAATGTACTTTAGGGCTGCATGTTTAATTTCATCATATGGAACTATGCACTATAGTATCATTTGTTTACATCTCTGAACAAGTCTTGAGTTACGTCTTAAGTTGGTAAATTTACCAAAAGAAATTTAAATGAAATCCAAAATTATTAAATTATTTGACTTCTGTGACAGAGGCATCAGCTAATGTTCATCCAGATATTTTAGTTGAAACTGTTGTCCTGCTGTTGTCCTTTTTTTTTTTTTTCCAAGAAATAACAATACATTACCATCTTTGAATAACCATTTTTAAAAGCTTTAAAAGCCCTGGTCCATATGGCTTAGTGGTTAGAGTGTCAGCCGCACAACAAAGGACCGCAGGGGTCGATTCCTGGTCAAGGTCATGTACCTGGGTTTCAGGTTCCATCCCCGGCCCCTTTCAGCACGCGCGCTGGAGGCAGCCAATCAATGTGTCTCTCTCACATCGAGGGTTCTCTCTCCCTTCCCCCGCATTCCCCTCCCTTCCACTCTCTCTAAAAATCAACGGGAAAAATATCCTCGGGTGGGGATTAACAAAATAAATAAATAAAAATCTTCAAAAAATTGTTCTAAATAAAAATAATTAATTTAGTAGCTTAAAAATACTTAAGAAAACACATCTTTATGTTTGAGATAAAAGTATATTAGTGAAATCAGATGATTTTGTTACATTTGCAAAGTGTTTTTAATTAATAATTTTGATTTAGAAATCCATAAAGGGTTAATGAGTATGTTTAATTCTTTACTGTTTGCTTTTTCTTCAGAAGTTTTTTTTTCCTTTACCATATTTTTATGTATGTTTTTGATGTGTTTATAGTGACTTTTACATAAATGCACATATTTGAACTGATGGAAAATACTTTACAATTACAGTTAATCTGTCTAGAGATTAAATGCTGCCCTTTGTATTTAGAAGCAAGATTACCCAGCTAGAGAGAAAGGTTACAAGCAGGGCAGTACTGGGCAAAATTAGGAGGAGATATAGTTCTTTTCTGATGGTGCATATGTTCCCTTTTTATGACCTTCCTCATAGCAGGGGCGTTTTTCTCGACTTCACAATACCCCTTCCCCCTCGCAGATTGGTACTCCAGAAATGGTTTGGTGAAATAGGTTTACTCTGAGGTGTCACCAAATTATACTAAAGAGCTGCTTTTTAATTGACAATGGAAGATTTAAGGCAAAAGAAGAAACCCTTGCTGGAATTCTAGGCATCTCCAGCAAGGTGGTAATGATGACGTTGAATTTGTGTCTTCCCAAGAATTTTGACTTTCTACCACCTAGATAGTCACTAGACATCGAATCAGAAAACATGCTTTCTAATTCTGGGTGATCCAAATGTCACTCATAGCCCTGAGATACTGAATTTTATTGTTAGCAATTTTACAGAAGCCTAAATTGTTAGAATTAAGAACTGGGACTTAACTTTACCAGGATTTCCCACAAAACTAGAAATACATGAAACACACATACCTATATTGTTGTTATATTGGATTCCTAGAAAAATCTAGTATGCCTTTAGAGAAAACAGCCTGAGGCTTACACCTTGTTATTTTTCTGAAAAGAGCCAAGTTCATATGCTGTTACTATTTTGTTTTGTTTTGTTTTGTTTCAATTTTATTTGGTGGGGGTTGGGGGTAAGAAAATCATAATGGCACAGGCCCAGTTTTCCTTCAATACATTTTTTTAACTCTTAAGATTCACCATCAACCTTTAGGATTATCTACTCAAGGACTGAGACATTATATTTGTAAAGAAAAACAATTTTTTCAAAGGTTGTGCTTCAAGGGCTTTAAATTGACCACACATTTATTCAGCCTTGTTTGCTTTTCCACAGCACATAGAGATTATCAGAATATTCTTTGTATGTCAGACACTGCAAACTTAATATTAAACAGGCTACCCTGACCTTTCACCTTGTGGCTTTAATACTCATTTCTACATTAAGAGAGATGTTCAGAATTTCTGACCTTTTCAGACTCTCTAATTCCCATTCATCCACTCACCCTGATTTCTAGATTTGCTCAATTTAGAATCCTCGCCACTTCCTCCTGTTAATTCTTAAATGTGTACCTCTTATCTCCGTAACCAAACACTGCAGTATTACAATCTGGAGCTCGAGGGGAAGAGTAAAGGAAACAAGGAAACCTATGTTTCTTGAGCACCTACAAATTATAGGACAGTGTCCAGGGCTCTTACATAATCTAATCTTCATAGCAACTCTTCCAGAATGAGTGTAATGGCTGGTCTACAGATTAAGAAAATGAGGCTCAAGAGACGTAACAAAGTCAATTCATTTGTGTCCGATCTGGAAGGTGATGTTCACCTGTGATTTCTGACCCACCTTCATCAAAAATAGTTTAAGCAGCTTATAATAAATGAGTTAATAAAATGGTAAAAAACAGACCATGGAGGGAAAGGGAAAAGAGAATTGTAACAGGATTTGGAAGAAGCCATTTACTATAACTGAGGGTCGGAGGGAAATGCAAAGCTTTTAAATATATTTTGGTTTTCCTAATGGTGGACATTAATGTTCAAGTAATGCTTCCGTCAGCTCTTGCTGTACGTTTGACTGATTTGAGGGACTGGGAGAGATAAATAGAGGTCTCTTTAGGTCACACAGGACCAGCCTGCTTCTGGCGTCTGGGCAAACAGGCACCTTAGGTAATTTTTGGTGGGCAAAGCTAGAAGAAGAAGCTCCTGGCAAAACATCTCTTGGCTACTTTGCCTGTGCTTTCCTGCACGTAGGTATGGACTTACAGATGTTCCTAAGTATCTCCAAATGTGCTGACTCTTACACATGATGGAGTCAATTTGATGATAGCCAGGGGTTCCCTTTTACTACATCCCTTGGTCCCTCTGCTATTTCAGTTTCCCACATTTCGCTTATGACTTCACCAATTTCTTGATTCTGTAACTTATTGCACACCACTATCTTATTTCTGGGAAGGTGCCAGAAGAATGGGGGGGAAAAATCCTCTTGGACTAGGAGCCAGAAGACCTCTCTACTCATCATTTGGCGATGTGAGACAAGGGCATATTTTTTCTTAAAGACTTATATTTATCCATATGTATAACAGGCATAATAATTTCTGCCCATCTCTGCTCTGTCATACCATGTCCTCCTCTACAGGGATGTGAGAATCTTTCAAAACTTGATAAAGGAGAGCTTGGTAACCTGAAGTATCTTATAACTGGGAGAACTTATTATATAAACACCTGTTTATACAACCTGTGAGTTCTTGAGAAGGGCTAAAGAGAAAAATCAATGTGCTCCTACCTTAAAGGCAGTGATGGTAATAGGGTGCTGAATTGTTAATTGTACATTGATTGTCATTCACATATATGCAAATATGTATATAGCATATAGTTAGAATTCCCCTAGCAGTGGCTCTTCGGTGCTATGAAATGGGGCCACCCCTGTTTTGTATAATTACGAAGAGCAGTGTGGCAGCTTCTAAGACCAAGTGTACTAATGTAGCACTCAAGTGCTAGAACCACTTTTTATTATGTTTTCAAATATTATTATATCATGTTTTTTTGAAAACTAGGTTCATTTATAGAGTTTTCACAATTTGTATTTTATACATAGTTGTGCATGTGTATATGTATACATACATACATACACTTGTATATATGCAAATAAAACTGAAAGAAAAATGTTTTCTCTCTCCTCAAATATCAATATGACTGCAGCAGGGAGGAGACAAACAGGAGCACAATAATACATTTTGTTGACGTCTAAATGGGGAGCTTTTCCCATCAAAAGTTAGAAACATGCTCAAAGTCCAGTCTTCATCCTATGGTCACAATAATTACTCACTGTTAATGCCACATGGTCTATAAAGTTTTTCATCTTATCTTTTTCAGTTCTCACTACAGCCCTACAAGGTAGGTTGGGTTATTATTCTTGTGTATCCACTACTGTATGAATTTCTCAAAGATGCAATCGCCTCTTATTAGTTTTCCTACCTCTAACATCTAATCCTGCAGTAAGAGTATATTTAGTTTATATAGTTTTCCTGTGAGAAAACAAAGGCAGGGATGTTTGGTGGCCTACACAGTGACCTGTAACCTCCTAATATATTCTGGAGGAAGACTTAAATTTTCATTTTCTGACTTTATAGCCTGCCCTCATTCTAGTAGACATCACTAGTTCTATATTCAAAGAAAAAGTCAGGAATGACAGTTGAATTGGGAATATCATATGTAATATAATGCATAATATGACAAACCAATTATAGTAAATTTCCAAAATGAAGTTATGCTGAATGGAAAACTTATTTTCCCTTTGTCTCCCAGAAGACTTGTGGAAAGTCAACAAAACAGCTCTTTGGGCTCCAGGAAACAGAGGCTATTGGCATTCCAAGTGGTTATTTTATGGCCCAAGAACATCTTAACTGACAATGCATGTTTCCATGTGGAGGCCTCTGCATGAAAGCAGGGTCTGCTGCCAAGGGCCCTGTTTGATTAGCTTTGCACTTATCTTCTGCATGTCTCAAATGGCCTAGGAAGCTACAACTTAAATGCCTCCCCTGCCACTTGAGCTTGATATCTCAGTATCTCTCATAGGATAGAGAAAATGACAAAGAAAAATGGAGGAGGTAATATTCTTCCTCCCACACAGGAGGTGCTTTAGGAAGATATTCATCTTTGTATTCTACACACTCAGAAAGAATCTGATTTGATGATAGCATTGTGATCCCTCCCTATCAGGAAAACTTCTCAGATGGAAACACAAATAACTTCTTGTCATCGATCCTGGAGGAATAGTCTTGCAACTGTACAGTTTAAGGCCATGTTTTAATCTGAGACCTATTGGAAATGACCAGTCCCCATCCTTCAGTGTCCCATGCTCACTGTCATTCCAATGTTTGTGTTCCTAGGACCTCGATGCAGTCTCAGTCTTCATACGGTAACAGCTCCCCACCTCTGAACAAAATGAACAGCATGAACAAGCTGCCTTCCGTGAGCCAGCTTATCAACCCTCAGCAGCGCAACGCCCTCACTCCCACCACTATTCCTGATGGCATGGGAGCCAACAGTAAGAGCATTTCCCTTTAGCAGCAGCTGAAGGAGCCACAGGGCTAGTGTTAGAGGAAGACTCTGCTCTGGGATGCGGGAAAGGCTTGCTCTTAAGCTAAATGAGAGACACAGTGGGACAGAACACATCCAAATTGATTGGCTTGAGTTTTTCATGGTAAATATTTTCTCACCTTTGAGGTGTGTGGTTCATTACAAAGTACAGGTAGAGATGAGAAGGCTGTTCCTTTGGTAGAGATAAGGATCTCTGTGAAAAGAATAGTCAACTCCTGTCAACTTGAGTGAAGACTCACCTCCTCCATCCTCTGAGATACTCAAAGGGAAGTACAGCCAACATGTGGGAAGCAGTGTGGTGTGGTGGACTTAATATCTAGAGAAATAGCTTATAGTCTGGACTCTGTTGCAATATTAGCTATATAACTATGGACAGGACACCACTCTGCTCTAATGCTTAGCTTTCCATTCATGAAATCATTGATCTGCACATTTAACATTTTATGATTCTGTGTCCCTGCAGTCTTGGCCTTCTCAACTTGTCTACTCCATTCCATTCATGATCATTAATGACTGACATAGGGAAAGGAGTCTCCCTTTCACTTATTTACACACAGGTTCCTCATAACAACTAAGTGTAACTGTAAGAAACAATGTGAGATTTGGGCCTCCAAGTGGATGATTATTGCTATATAGCTTTGTTGTAAATATATTTATCTTGTCCACTAGAACCAAATCTAGCAAGGTGGATACCCAAATTTAAAAAAAAAAAAAAAGAAAAAAAAGGATGGTAAAAATGCAGAAGGATGTGTAATATCTTTAGGGATGCAGGAGCCTGAATATATGTATCCTGTAACCCCACTGGTAAAATGGTGCCTCAATATTGTCTTTTGAAATCCTTCATCATTTTTCCTAAGCCTTTAAACTATTTTCAGTGTTTCCTTGGAGAGATTGGCTTTTCTTAAGTCAAAGGTGGATAGAATTTGGACTCTCAGTGGTCTGATGGCACATGTTCAGATTTTAATGAGATGGAGATATATGTAGTATGATTTTCCTGGTGTAGCATCAAAGACGTTAGAGCCAGACTGCTCTCTCACTGGGGATAAATGCAACCTAAGACTCAAAACCTGGCCCCTTGACAATAAAAGGAAACATAACCATTTCCTTTTTGTTTTTTCTTTCTTATGAAATCTTAGAGTCCTCAAAGTTTTCTTGGGATGATAAAATAGTAGTAATGATAATGATCCTTCACACTTGTGTAATATAATTTGCCCACTTTTTCTTATTTATACTTCACATTTTTTCCTTTGCTGTCATCAGATCAGAGGGGAAACAGATGAGACATGACAGTCCTGTACTCTTTAGCTGGCTAGTTAGCAGCAGAGGTCATTTCCCTTTGGCACACTACTACTCACTAAAGTAGAAGTAAATGACATTCATCTTTTTGCAGATATATATTTTTTGCTCTTTTTTTGACCTGAAGTCAAAGTTTGTTTCATAAATATTATTGATATTAAGTCTTTCTTTATAAGTGAATGTTTATAGTTTATGGTTTAGTAAAAAACATCCGTGTGTGGATGGTGTTCCCCAAATACAATCCTGAAATGAATCATGAATAAGAAAGAGCTACAATTTTTTATTGCATTCTTCCTTATTAGGGTTATGGTTCTCTACAAATATTGCAATAGCCCTCCTATTCCCAAATCAATATTCACTCTCTCATTCACGGATTTATTAATTTGTTCACTTAAGCTAAGTTTACTGAACATCTGCCCTGTGCCAGGTATGTGCTAGGATGTGCGGGGATCTAGACAGATACAAGGTCTAATCTCCATGTTTGAGGAGATTAGTCTAATGAGGAAGAGAGAAATATAACTCATGAAGGCAAACACAACAAGGGGAATATTAACATCAGGAGCAATGAGCATTGGACTGGGCATTAGAAGTAGAGAAAGAAGTGGGAAGAGATTGTCCTAAGACATAGTACAAAGGTCAAGAGGTGTGTAATTAGTTTTTAATTTGATGATTATTCTGATCTATTGGATGTAGGGTGCTTAAAGGGGTATAGTGAGAGATAAGACTAAAAAGGAATCCCAGTAGATTAGTTACATTACACCAAGCAAGAAGGACCACTGGGATGCGGGGACATGATGACGGCAGTAACCCTCTCTGTTCCTCCTGCTTCTGTTCAGTTCCTATGATGGGCACCCACATGCCAGTGGCTGGAGACATGAATGGACTCAGCCCCACCCAGGCCCTCCCTCCCCCACTCTCCATGCCATCCACCTCCCACTGCACCCCCCCACCTCCGTACCCCACAGATTGCAGCCTTGTCAGGTGAGTCCACAGTTTGTGCCCCTGGGGGCCTGTCCTAAACATCTCTGGGTGGTGGAGGGTGGACACTGTCCAAAGTTAATAGCACAGTTGGAAAGAAAGAAAGCAGCCCTATGGTTGAAGTTCAGCTACTATTATCTCTGATCAGCAGTGGTCAACAGTGTTTAATCAAAGAAGATCACCCTAGTCAACATGGGGAAAAGTGAAAATGTGAGTTTATGGGCACATAATTTTTCATGCCTGTTTTCCCATCTTCACTTGCTCCCTACCTCCTTCCTCACATTTTTACACTATCAGTTGTGGCCTTCAAATTGGTGCCTGGGGCTGGGGTTCCCAACAGGGCAGTAAACTTGCTATCTTGCTCCCTTTCCTGCTCTCTAGGCCTCATAGCTCTCAGCCACCATGGGATGATTATTTTGAAGTTGCATGTCCAAAAAAGAGTTTTCATGTTAGCAAAAATGACAGGGACTTTCAAGAACCTGATGGCCTCTGCTGCTTTGCTATATGGGAAATGGGAAGACTCGAGGCAAAGGAGTTCAGATAGCATGAAGAGAGAAGTGCATGAAGATGAAAGATATGTTTCCCACAGAGGCAAGAGTAGGTGCCCAAATCTCACACCTAGGGCACATCATCTTCCTCTGCTTCGTGTGCAGAATGATTCTTTCATTGGGCCGCTGGAATCATGTGTGTTGATCTCCATGTGATTGGTGCAATAAAACTAGCAGCATCAGTCAGAAGGATAGCAAAATGCATGGCTTATCCCACTCAGTGTCTGGCTATGTGACAGACAGTGCATCGTCAATCTGAGACTGGCACCAAAAAGGAGGGAGGGCATAAATAAAAAAGCAATAATGACTTCATAGTATAGTGACCTGTGATTTATCTCCGTCTCATGAACCTACCCTAAGGACAGGTTCCATCCTCAGAACCATTCTCAGAACGCTCAACTACGAAACAGTGAAAGTAGAGATGCTCTTTTTGAAGGGAAGAGCCAGGAGGCAAGAGGGCTGAGAACCTGACCGCTGGACTCCTTCCTTTCACCCCCTGCAATGGCTGCTAAGGCACTTTTATAGAGACCCTTAGAATTCAATCACCATTTGAAAACTGCTGCTCTGCAGGAATCCTTACAGTTGATTTTAACTTTTATAGACCTAAAGTTCAAGTCACTAGTCAACCCCAAATCTCAAATCCAAGGACCATGTATATTTTATCTACACCTAGTCTCTTCTGTAGGGCATCCCAGGGCAAAATGTTGGGTTTTCCTTTATCTCGCCAATGCAGTTGGGGTGAACTTTCTTTTTCTGTTTCCTCCTTCCTCTTCCCTCCTCCCTCTGCAGTTTCTTAGCGAGGTTGGGCTGTTCATCATGTCTGGACTATTTCACGACCCAGGGGCTGACCACCATCTATCAGATTGAGCATTACTCCATGGATGTAAGTAACTGTTAGACTTTTCTCTTGAGTTTTATTTCTTCATTTCCTCCCTCTGGTGACATTCACCTTGTAGGTCAATCCCCCTGGTTTTAAAGTTTGTTTTTGTCATACCCTCCAATCCTCCATTTGGATGGAATCCATAACCATTTTAGAAAGATTCCTAGACCACATGGGAGAAGCTTAGCAATCAATCTTCCTCAGCTTGTCTGATCCATCGATTATCTATTGCATGCATACTATATACAGAGTGGGAAAGAAATCTAATTCTCACCTTCAAGAAATTTACAATCCCTAAATTTAGAGAACTTTTTTGGATGTTCTCATTAATTGGTATAAGATCCCAAGGAGGATAGCAGGAAGCAGTGGTATTCTCACTTTAAAACATGGAGAGACGACAGTATAGTCATTTGCCATGATGAGTTGATGACAGAATCAGGGATAGAACCCCAAGGTATAAATTTCTGGTCTTTAACTCTATTAACTGGCCTTTTCTGCCTTTCTTAAAGTAGGCCCTTGAGGGGATTCAGCTCCTCCTCTCAGTGAGAACCATATGTTCACTCGTTTTCAATTCTATCAGAATAGGGCTCAGACATCCCTGATCATTGGGAAAGATCACTGGTCATGGGTTTAAGTGCCAGCTCTGCTTTTTAGTAGCAATGCAAACTCATGGTTATCACTTTGCCTCTGTGGGCCTCAATTAATCCAATTGGGTTCAAAATCACTCTCTTCTGGCTTTTAAAATCTTTGGTTTGTATTTTGGAGCAAGCTGGATGGGAGGGGACATTCTTGCTTCCTATACCACTTCTTGAACTATTGCTCATATGGGAGCTTGTATTATTCTGGCTTAAGGCAATCTGATTTTCCTCCCAGGCTGCCCTTGGTGCTGCTCTTTTTGGAGTTTACTATCCTGTCTGTCAGCTTCCAGAGTTCCCTTAGGACTGGTGGAAGAAGATTCCCTCTGCTTCTGCTTCTGCTTCTGCTTCTGCTTCTGCTGCTGCTTCTGCTTCTGTAGTTGGGACTTCTTTTTTCCCTCTCCTTGAGCACCGATGCCAGAGATGCCCTTGCAGCATGAGAATGCCCCAGCCCTGTGGTGACCAGTATATGCTGTGCTGCACCTGTGCCCACCCCTCTCCACCCCATAAATCAGCTCTGGCTGCTGCTCCCTGATGATGAAAAGTATAGAGAAAGCTTTCAGAGTTAGTTCTGACAGGTTTTAGAGAACTTTACAATGATATCCCTCCGTTGAAGACAACAGAGTTGCCCTGTGTTTGTGGGTGGTCCCTTGCCTATTATGATCTGCACATGTTCTACACAAGTACATCTCTGCTGGTGTTGGCTAGGTCTTGTGCCAATGTCTGGGTCACAGCTTTTTTACCTGTCAGTTATGAGTTCAAACCTATCCAGAGTCATGCAGGTTAATGAAGCCTAGTTTATAAAGAGTTTTGGACTTATTGGAGTGTCAGAAACATAAAGAACTTTGCTCACTTATCTATTTATGAATCACCTTCTCTATAAAGTATTCTTCTACAAGAATAGGAAATTAGAGTACCCATACCACAAATATCCAAATCAGGAAAGATTGGGAAGCTGTCTAATTTCTGCACCCTCACCTTAGCTTCTTCCATCTAATTACTGGAAATAGACACCTCTTTTTCAGTTTGTCTCTCCATACCAGTCTAAGTTAGTTAGCATCTCTTCCTGGAAAAGGAATGTCATTAGATTTGGGAGGTTTCATAAGTATCCCCTCTAAGATGCATGGATGGGTTAATAATAATACAACAATACTACAAATGGTTAAGATTTCTATAGTATGCTTTATAATTTGCAAAATATTTTCATATCCCCATTTATGTGAGTACAAAATGACCTAAAAAGGAATTGTATTCCATTCTACCAATGGGGCCAATAGAGAATAAGTTGCTTGTTGAAGGTCCAGAGCCAGTCAGTGACAGAAGAACCTCTGTCAAGGTCTTCTGACTCCAAAAACAATAAAATAATAATAATAAAATAATTTTTAAAAATGACCCATCACTGAACAAGCTAATGAATCACTACTGTAGATAAACGTAAGAGATGCCACCATTAGTTAAAATCAAATATATTTGTAATGCCTTCTACTCCCATCCATAGAACATGGGTCCATACTCTGCATTGTGACACAGAGGTGCCTCATTTATCCAAGCACTAAGAGACCTTTTGGCCATTAGGGCAGTTTTAGGCTCAGAGCCTGTCCTGGGTCCCCAATTCATTCACTTAGTTATGCAAATTTAGACTCCTCAACCTCTTTGATCTTAAGCTTTCCTATCTAAAAATACGTGTAATAAAATCTACCACTAATCTGAGTGTTAAATGAGATCATGAATATAAAGTAATTAGATCAGTGGCTGGCACCTAGAAAATCTTTCATAACTGATAGTCATCTTTTCTTCTCACCTCATTTGAGTGGTGGTGTCATTAATGCCCTTCTTCTAGTGCCTAGAACCATGCAGAATTGAGAGGTGAAAGGTACTTTACCTTCTGTTTTCGTTTGGGGACTTTTGCCCTCTGATCTAACTCTTGTCCCCGTCTTACTAATGAAGGAACTGCGACCAGGAAAGAATGAGGGAAGTGTAATCCACAAGCAGAGAGGGCACCTCAAGGCTGTACCTTTCCGCTTATTTCCATGCAGCGCCAAAGATTATGGGCGAGCTGCTTTATTGCCCAGTTGAGGGATCAATCCATAAATTCAGATCAGTGAAACCAGGGCGCCGGGGAACGACACAGTGTCAGAGACTAAATGTCGTGTGTGCCTGTGCCCTAACTCTCCCTCGATCTCCCAGGATCTGGCAAGTCTGAAAATCCCTGAGCAATTCCGACACGCCATCTGGAAGGGCCTCCTGGACCACCGGCAGCTGCACGACTTCTCCTCGCCCCCGCACCTCCTGCGGACCCCGAGCGGCACCTCCACGGTCAGCGTGGGCTCCAGCGAGGCCCGCGGGGAGCGCGTCATCGACGCCGTGCGCTTCACCCTCCGCCAGACCATCTCCTTCCCGCCCCGCGACGAGTGGAACGACTTCAACTTCGACATGGACGCGCGTCGCAACAAGCAGCAGCGCATCAAGGAGGAGGGCGAGTGAGCGCCGGCCCCTCCCAGCCCTCCCGGCCGCCCACCCGGCCTGCTGCTCGACCCTCACGGCGCTCCCCACCCCCTTCCTCCTCGCCTGGCCTCTGAGGGGAAGGAGAAGCAAAAGGCTACATTTTACCTAAGGTCCCACCGGGTGTCTCCTGATTCTGATTCTGGCTTTAAGCCTCAGCTCTATTTGCAAGACTCAAGCTGTCCCTGAGAGGTAGAAGGGAGCGAAAGGGCGGGGAGTGTCTTCTGCAGCCGCCGAGCTCTCTCATCGACTTTTATAAAGCATGTTCACTCCTATAGTCTAAGACTATATATTTAAATATATAAATATACAGTATATATTTTTGAGTGGGGGGCATTGAGTATTGTTTAAAATGTAATTTAAAGGAAAGGAAATTGAGTTGCACTTAGTGACTTTTTTTTTTTTTTTGGGGGATTTACTTGTTTTGGATGGCTTATCTATACCCCTTCTCTCAAGGGATAGCATGAATGGTATTACCTAGTTAGAGCTTGTGATACATGTGAGTGACAGTCATGCATAGGTCCCTTCAGTTGTTTTGATGCTAGACAGATGCCACATCAGACCTTTGGGTAGATCCAGTTGTATTGACCGTTAGTTATCATGTGGGTGAGACTATATACATATGTACATGATTCTCTATTTTGGTGTATTTTATGTTACTGACACCCCTACTCGTGATGGTGATTCACTTTGGGGTTATTTAATCCAGTTACATGGCAAATTTCGTATTCACATTATCACACACTAGAAAAAGGAAATATCCTCTCTTGCTTTTGGTTGGGAATGGGGAATATGGGTCATGGCTAAACTTCTTAAAAGGTCCATGGCAGCCAATCCAAAAACACCTGGTATCACCTATCTGAATATATCAACAATCCCTTCAAATTTAATACCAGACACCTGATCTCTTAGTATTTATTGGGAAACATGTGTGGCCTTTATAGAAGCCTTAAACTTTCCTACCAGATTGACTAATTGAATTACACATTTGCTGCCCTTGATACAATTAAGGTTGAGTTGATTGGAATGAATGTCATCTACCTAGTTCTTACAGTGAAATCATAATGTCTCTTAAGACTATCCAGGAAAAGCAGATATTATATGGAAATATTGAATCTCAGCGAGTCATGAATTGAAATTCTTGGAAGACCTTTTGAAACAGATAATATTATTTGGTAAATGTTTCTTTTACAGACCCTCCTATTCTGTGAAATTCTGCATGTACAGGCTTGTTTATCTTTCTCTCTTCAGGGTTTAAAATAGGAATAGTGATTTGGAAAATATAAAATTATGACATTTGTTTTTCTCTGTGGCAGCAGTTATATCACTGTATCACTTTTCTTATTTGATCAATGAAAGTTTCACTTTGTTGGAAAGTAACTGTGAGAACCCAATTCCTCACCCATCTCTCTTCTGGACTGTGCATAGACATAAAAATGTCCCCACAGTTCAGGGGATAAGCCTACCGTGGGAGCTGTTGCTAGAACCACATAAACAAAGAATTGTCCTCAAAGTTTGGGAAAACATGACAATATTCCCCTAAATATTTCAGAAACCTACTTTGTAGCAAATGTTTTTTTCAAACTATAAAACAAATATTTTGTATATATGCTAATGAGCTGTAAAATCCCCTTGTACTTTCTGGTAAAGGGCTATCATTGCACATAAGCTTCCATTTTTATTTTAAAGTGCAAAAAGGGCTAATGTGGCTCTAAAATATAATGTATGTGTTTCATCTAAAAGTGTATATATGTTTTGTGTATGAAATTACATATTTTGTGTTTCAATTTTTTTTTTTCTTTTTGGGATAGCGGGTTTTTCAGAACCACAATGGGAACATTTTATTATTATTGTTTTTATATTTTCATGGAAATACCAGTTAGTAAAACTAAAAGGTCAAATAAGAAGAAAAAAAAAGACATAACTAAGATGGGGGGAAGGGAAAGTTGTTGTTTTTTATTATTTTTATTTTGTATGTTAAAGAGAGTGAGTCCTTGATTTCAAAGTTTCATTGTGCTTCTGTGGTAATAAGCACTGTTAACTTGTGGAACAAGCAGGCAGCTTTGACACCTGTTAAGGGAAAGAATGAAAGCTGTGCCTTGGCAAAGCTAGGAGGACAAATGGCTTCCTCTACTGTCCTGAGTGTTTGAGTAAACTTAAGGACTTCTGAGCTGTTTCAGCACTATTCAGATGGCACTAGGGACTCAGAAATTCCTGTACTGTATCTCATGGGTTTGGCATTAGCCAAGTCTAGGTGCAACTACTGGCCTCACATCCTGGTGGAAACTTATGCTCTTTGAGTGTATGAGTAGCTAGGACAATGGGGTGAAAGAATATTAAGGGCACGCAAGTGGGAGTGGGCTTAATGTCCCCACAGTTCAGGGGATAAGCCTGGTGGCCTTGTGGCAAATGGATAAGTTTTTGTTTGGAGGTGATGGGAAACAGAAATGGAGAACAGAACTTTCTTCATTAAATCCATTTACATTTGTTTTCTTGATATCCCCCCAACATACAATATGTGGGATGTTGAATGTTAAGGGTTTTTTTTTATTATTTTTATAATTGTACAAAAATTAGTAAATGTCAAATGTTTTATATACTTTATTAATGTTTTTGAAAGATTCTTTCTTATAGATGTGATACTTTTTTTTAAGCTTCAGTTGCTTGTCTTTTGGTATTTTGTATTATGGGCTTTTGGTGAGCCAGAGGCAAATCTACAAGCCACTTGTGTTTACCAGGACATGCAATAAAATTTAAAAATAAATAAAAATGCATTGAGAAATGATGTGGATGGTATGTGTGTGTCTGTCTGTCTGTCTGCCCCTTGACCTTATTTTTAATCATTGGGGAAGAGAAATATCCTGAGAAAACATTAAAGAGGTTCAAATGTTGAGACTTCTCATCTCAGAACAATATAATCATTATTTTCTCATTTTAGCCAATCTGTGAAGCAGAAAAGACCAGAAAGATATCCTCACAGATTTAATACTTTGAGATCAGAATGAGTGTGCTTTGGAACAAAGATCAGATACTTCTCATGTCTAATTTAGCAGCCTTCTAGGCACTAAGCAATGACCTGATGACCAGCTCAGCACTCTGGGGCTAGGGTGCAGATTACCCTGGTTGTGTGAGGGAACAGCATTGCAGATGGTGGTCTCTGGGCATGCTCTCCTATAGATTCAGTTTTAAATGTCACCTTCAATTATATACATTGTTTCAGTCAATAAAATACTCTCAAAATGGTTTAATTATTTTAGTAAAGAAATGAAAAAGCTCATTCTTTTAGGAGCTAACATTAGATGGCATGAAAGCAACTTAACAACTTAGATTTATAAATAACTTTACAGAATAACATAGTATATAATATACATGATTTAAAGATATCAATTTGCTTTCCTATTTATAAATGTCATCATGTTATGAATATATGCATTCATATAGGCAAGGCAGATTCAGCTTAAATTAGGGATACCAAAATATTTCAATTCTCATTCCTTAAAGTATAGGTGACGGATTCTTCCAAAATGAGATGGTTGATACGATGTTGCCATGAAAAGAAAAATAAGCAGCAATGAAAGTGGGTGATCCTTGGTGTACTTTTAAGGCATTTTAGTTTCAACTGTAGTTTTTTCTTTTTGTGAGTAGTTCTAACCATTTGTATGGATTAGTACTTTGTGATTTTTATTCTCTCTTAGAGGTCTTTTGAAGCGCAAAAATACTTTTTAAAAAATTTTAAGACTTTTTAAAAAGTAGTTTTAGGGTCATAGCAAAACTGAGAGGAAAATACAGAGATTCACCTGAAGCCTCTGACTCCACACATGCCTAGCCTCGCTCATCAACATCCCCACCGAAGTGGTACATTTGTTACAACCGAGGAACCTACACTGACATCATTATTACCCAAAGTCTGCAGTTTACATTGCAGTTCACTCTTGTACATTCTGTGGGTTTGGACAAAAATAAAGTGACATGTATCCACCATTATAGTAACATACAAAATAGTTTCAATGCCCGAAAAATCCACTGTGCTCCATTTCTTCAACCCTCCCACCCCAAAACTCCTGGCAACCACACTTACTCTGAAAATGCTTTTACCGTCTCCATGGTTTTGCCTTTTCCAGAACATCATATATCTAGAATCATGCAGCAATGTAGTATATTCAGATGGATTTCTTTCACTTAGTGATACTAAGTTTTTTCACAGCTTAATAGCTCATTTCTTTTTAGTGGTTAAGTAATATTCCATTTTCTCCACGTACCAGTTATTTGTCTGTTCATCTACTGAAGGACGTCTTGGTAACTTCCACATGTAGGCAACTGTGAATAAAGTTGCTATAAACATCTGTATGCAAGTTTTTTTGTGTGGATATAACTTTTCAACTTCTTTTGGGTAAATACCCAGGAGCGTGATTGCTGGATTTTATGGTAAGAATATGCTTAGTTTTATAAGAAATTGACCAACTCTCATCCAAAGTGGCTGTACCATTTTGTATTCCCATAACCAATGGATGAGAGTTCCTGTGGCTCCCCATCCTTACCAGCTTGATGTCTGTGGTCCGGATTTGGGCCATTCTAATGGGTGCGTAGTGGCATCTCATAATTTGCATTTCCTGATGACATATGTGAAGTATCCTTTCATGCACTTGTTTTTAATCTGTGTATCTTTTTTAGTAAGGTGTCTGTTAAGGCCTTTGTGTTATAATCAGCTTGTCTGTTCTCTTATTGCTGTTTTAAGAGTTCCAAAACTACTTAAAAAAAAGGACAGATTATTTTTTGTAATTATCATAGGACCTGTTAGACCCTTGTACAAATCTAAAATACAGAATGAAAGACTGATTTTGTTTTTCCAACTCTTGAGACTTTTTGTCTTCTTACCAGTCTTGGAATTACTTTATATCAACCATTTCCAATGAGCCAAACTAAATAAGACAAGCTTTAGAGAAGGGAAGAACGGTGGAATTATTTGGTACTGTTCTGTCAAATATGGTAGCCACCGTTTGTGACTACTCCACACCTGAAATGTGATTGTTCCAAATTGAGATGTGTTATAAGTGCAAAATACACATTGGATATCAGACACTTAGAATAAAAATAATGTAAAATAGCTCTTTGATAATTTTAAGTTGAATACAGGTTGAATGATAATACCACAGATTAAATAAAATCTATTAAAATTAATTTGGTTCTTTTTTATATTTTAGGTGCCTAGAAGAAAATTTAAAATTATATATGTGGCTCTCAATATTGTTCTATTGGGCAACTGGCCTAGAAATATGATGCAATAAAAAGCCAAAAGGGTGATGAAATAAATTTACTATTCATAATTATTCAGTTTTCTTAGTGTATGGCCTCAAAATATTTCATCATCTTATAAGACAGAATAAAATAATATGAGACATTTATTTTTATAGCCTGCTTTTAGTGTTACATAAAAATTCAGAATTTTTCATCTTCTGATAATGGCAAAGAGATAAAAGTTGATAAAAATGATTCAAAACTGTTAAATCTGAAAATAAATATAAAAAGTCAGTGCCATTTTGGACTCTGATGATGATGGTGAAATGGATTGTCTTAGTTCAGTCTCAGACTGAGTCATCATGTGATATTCTAGATGAATTTTCTCAAACAAAAAGCTCAATGGTTTCACAGTATAGCTCTCAAAATGAAAAGGATACGTGAGTCTGTTGAATAGTTAATTATTCAACAAGTAGAATTTTGCCATGTAAATTTTTGTGACAAGAACCTGACCGTCCTATTTTTCTAAAAGAAATGTGACAGTATTTGTTAGTGATTCTTATGCACTGAAATATGCTTCTCAAGTGGACAAATGCTGGAGGTAGGTGCATAGCAAAGGAAACAGGAAGTATATAGATTATGTAGAAATTTAACTCACTGAAGTGGTCATTCTAATTGGTGCTTATAAATGTAAAAATAAAAATATTTTTAATTTTGGAGCAAAGAATATGGTAATCTTTTCAACAAAATTATGAGCCATCAAGTGATCCAAGACTTTTTCAAGTATTTCATTTTGATAATGCAAATGCAAGATAAACATTCAGAAGTAGTAATATGAAACATATCTGAAATCAACATTTACAAGATGGTTATATCTGAGATTGCATGACAGTCCATGAGGAGTGAATTGAATTCTGAGGATATTTCCCATTTTTGTCTATATACGTACATATATGTCTAAAATCATGGGAATAAAGAACAGAATTTTAGGTTTACTATACTTAAGTTCTTATTAAAATTTCTGATGCTGTTTTTCACTATCTTTTTATTCTCTGTTTCATCCACAAAATTAATACAGTATTTTTTAAAGGATTAATTAGATGTAGATGACAATGGGTAATGACCTTTCTTGTTACACTGTTAGTTATTAGAATAACTTGCCCAATATTAATAGTTACAGAACACGAAACATGATTAAACATGCCTGAATTATCTAGAATTTATATAGGACTTTTGAGATCCGGGGATCAAATTTCTGCTTTTGTCTGTACCTTCTGGATTATTTAGGAAAGTAACCAAATGCCTAGTGGTTTACAAGGCATTCCTGCTAGCAAAATAAAATAATGGAATAAAGGGCTGTAGGGTGAGTGGCGAGTACACATTGGAGCCCCCCTTACCCAGGGAAGGTACACATGATCTTGAGTCAGGGCACCCACAGACTGGCAGGAGGCAGTGTGCATTCTCCCTTCAATGATTCTTTCTCTTTCATATTTTACAGTTCTCTTACTAAGTAAACTAGAGCAAAGGATGCTTCGGCCTTGAGTATAGATTCCCCAGCATCCTCTTTGCACCCATAAAAGCCTTTGTATCTATCCTTTTTTTAAACTTGATCAACACGGTGTTTTCACCTGGAGCTTCGGACTCATTCCAGAAATGGATATGCAGATATATAAATTTTCATGGAAATACAGAAAGACAGAGTGGAAAGAACACTGGGCTGAACAAAGCATGATGACTGGGGCCAGATGTTTAACCCCCTGCACCTCAGTTTTAGCATCTGTAAAATGAGGGGTGTGAACCCCTAACTTGTTGGTATTACAGTAGTTTTCAGGAGAGACCTGAAGGATGGCATAAAACAGCTCTGCCAAAACAGATATGAGGTTATAGTTTTAAGACAAATTACAGTCTCAAAGCTCAAATATGCATATATATATGTAAATATATATATAATTTTTTCAGATAACAGTAGTTCAAATTGGTAGTTTAAACTGGTGCTTTTAGAGTCAATGTTGGGTGTGTGCTTGAAATTTATGAGATTTGTAACTCCTCACACTAATCCTGAATCTATGTGCCAAGTGGATGGCAAGTACTGGCAGGTAAATTTCTCTTTTGTGATCCTGATCAGAATTTTAGGCCTAGGATCTTGAAGGTAACAGCATTTTGTAATTCAAGTAAAAGTTACACAGGGCCAAGGGAGGGAAAGAAGTTTCTAGCAAAGAGAGTTTAGCTTAGGGAACAATAGATAGTAAATTAAGAATTTTATGGCACTTTACCTCATCTGACAGTTGCATTATAATTTTGGGAATACCATAATTTATCTGAAAAAGAAATTATGATGACTTGGCATAATAGTTTATATTCCTACACTCTAGGTACTACCTCCTCTAAGTGGATCATTCTGCCCTACCATTTTTTAGCTAAATTCGCATCAGCTGTGTCCAATTTTTCTTCAACTTACCAATACCTTCCTAATACTGCATAGCTCCATTAATGAGTAAAAGTTAGAGAAAGCACTTGAAAGCATTTATAGTACTTAGGATACAGAAAAGC